CTCATTTCTATTTTATTAAAAACTATTTTCAATATAGATTAACTGTCGTATCCAACAGTTTTCAATTAGGTTGGCTTCACTGCACCGTAGCAACCATTAACAAAGTTCTTTGTTCCTTTGTTGGACAACATTCATACGCCCTGTTGGCCGCCAACCCTTCAACATTTATTCGATTTCCCTGTTTCGAACTTTCCTCCAACCAAAACGATGGTTGGCTGTTCAAAAACAGGATGTGCCTTCGTTTTACCTGCTGCTATCAGTAGTTATCACCCTGGGCAGTCGACCATGTCCGTGGATGTGTTTCAGTTGCGCCTGCTGTGGCATCCTGGACCCTCGATTTCGATCTCCTCCCTGGCAACTACTCCCGAAAATCCAGCCAAAGTGCTTTGTTTTTGTTTTTCTTGGCTGTAGGGGTTCGAGAAACAAAGACAAATTTTGTCGGCGCAGCGGGAGAGGGTTGATGACACCGAAAGTCAAAACAACAAACGAAACAATAGGGGATTTATCGAAATCCTTTCTTTGATTATATTAAATTAACTTTTCGGCAGCACTTTGGATATGTATAGATATTCAGGAATGTATTTCGATTTGTTTTAATTCTCTGGATGATTTTTCCGGAATTTTTCAGATATCCGCTGCCGTTTGAGTCGCGCGGCAGACTAATCCGGCCGGCTGGTTTTCGAGAAGTTGAGAGCTCAGAACCCGAGGTTTTCCCGCTGCATCTTCGGAATTTCCACTCTCGCCATTTTCCTCTCTAACTCTCTCTTTTCGCTGCACTTTCTGGCCAAAGAGTGCACTCTGTCTCGGCCCGATTCTCTTTTTCTCCGCCCTGCTTACCACGTTTGCATTTGCGGCTTTTTTTGTTATTATCTCATTATGAGCACGTTGCAAGTTTGATGATGTCGGGCCAAAACCAAAGGCAAGATGCTAACGTGGGCTGGAAAAACGGGTGGGTGGCTGCTTGGCCATGTCAATTTAATTTTGTGGAAATCCGCTTTCGACGCACTGAATCAAGTTAATGGGTAAAGGCTTTCCGGCGACAGCGGGAAGGGAAAACTACTGCACAGAAGAAGTGTTATTTCGGTTTTCACCAGATTGCAATTCAATTAAATCTGAACGATGTGTGCTCTTCGCTGAATGACAGCTTGATAATGAATTCAATTACCTTAATGTCAAGGTTTATTTACTGCGATTTTAAAAGGTTTTAAAAAGGTGGGTGGGGCACTTGAAAAGATTTATTTTAGGATTTTGGATTTTACCTTTTTTGTTTGGCAGAATGTAAAAATATATTTTTCTGCTCTATTGAAATAGTTTTTCAAGATAAAAAGCTGTTAACGTTAAAGTCCTCTCAGCTGCCAAGTTATACGACTTCCAGATTTTAAAGGGGTTTAAACGCTAAATTACCTGAACGGCATTTAGTTCGTTTTGAATTTTATTTCTCTGCGTTTTAAATTTGATTCATTTCCTGAAACCTGATTTATTTAAAGCAATAACTTTGTGATGTTAATACTCATCTCATTTAAAGGCTACATATATTAATGGATGCATGATTTCCATATATGTTTAACATATAATATATTACACGCATTCGAGCTGACCTTTTCGAGTTTATGAAGCATTAAATAAATGTTTGGCCTACACAGTGAACTTTTGTCCTTCGCCCACATTTTTGCACTAAAAACGCAGTATATTTTTATGGAAATCCCTTTTCTTATTTTCCCACACTTAAATTGCTCCTCATTTCGGTTCGAATTTCTCCTGCGGCCAACGGATATGGAAAACTGTAACTGTTTTGTAACCAAACACGTGCATTCTGCTTATGAGGGAAAATGACATGAAGGCGGAAAATAGTGAGTGGTGGCGCTGGAAAATGGGATAAAAGAGGAAGAGGCGACTCGTGTCAAGTGTAAATGAAATTTCCAATTTTGCCGTGTGGGCAAAAATCAGCAAAATGTTCCAGTTGTTGTTGTCGGTATTGATTTTTTGCTTTTCCGCTTATGTGGTTAAGTAGTGTCACACGAGAGGGGCTGTTTAAATGGGGCTAGGGGGAGCATTTTGTGGGTATGGTCGTGATGAAAGCGTTGCAAAATGGATGACAACAAATGAGCGTGAAACTTGGCCAGGTTGCCTTTGCAGTTACCTTTAACATTAATTTTTGGGACCAAATTGATATTTCAATTGCGAGATATACTAAGTAAAAAACGAGGAACAAACTTATTACTATACTGTTCATAAATTTGTACGTCAACTGTACTTAAAGAGTTAATTTAAAATTTAAAGCTGAGTTTATTTTGAAACGCTGATTAAGGTAATACTACTATTTAGAATTTTGAACTTTCTAGCTCCACAATAAATTATACTTTAAAATAAATATAAAATATTAAAGCTTATTTAAGGCATTTAATTAGTGACCGTTTTCACACAGAAAAGGTATTTAAGCTTCTCTCTTCTTTATTTTCTAAAAGGTTCATTAGGATACAGTTGCTCTAGTTTCCTCAGCTTAATTATGCTGCTCCCTCACAGATACAAAACACGGATAGCAACGCACATTGTGGCAGGAACGCACCTCACGAGGAGCTCTCAAACAGCAGTGGCCCATTAAAACAGACACTGGATAAAAATAGCCAAGGACTTTTGCCCCTTGCACAAGGATTAATTTCGCCGGGAAGGTGGATGCGAGCCAATAAAGTAGGTATACATATACTCTTCTTCTATCGATGAGTGCTTTTTATGGCCTTTCCCAACAATTCCCCTCTTGAAACTCGCCACTCGTCCCAGACTTTTGCATTGTAACTGTATCAATTCGATGATGAATTTTTATTGAACATTTTGATTGAATTTCAAAGGAGAGCAGGTGCCCACAGAAAGAATTGCAAATATGGCTCGACATGCTCGAAAATCCTCAATGACATGCGGTAATCGAATTGAAGCTTATTTACAAATTCAGTCAGCAGGCAAACAAATGTAAACTTCGATGACAGATGGCGAAGTAATGTACAGTCATCTGCTTTTTCATCACAGTTTGAACAAGAAATATGATTTTAAGGGAAAGGCCACCAATTATAATAACAAATCCCTTAACCTTGAACTAACTTTTCCTTAATAAAAATAACATCAAACAAGTAATCAAATTTGGGAGATTATCCTTCTTGACCACTTCCTTCAGACCAAAAAGTTATACCCATTTTCTTTATGACAAAGTTTCCCAACTAACTTTAGTTAGGGAATAACATCAACATTTTCTTCCAACATTTTATTACATGTTTGCAAACATGTTAATGGGTAATCCATCAAGACGGCGAAGCCCAGCAAATTATTGGGCCTCCATAAAAGCAACCAATGACCAGAAACCTTTCATTTCAGGTATACCATAGAATTATCGTTATGTCAGAAACAGTGTTTACTTTTCCCTTTTTCCGAAACATTTTATTGAGCATGAAACCTTTCAGACTTTCCTCACTTTCTCCACGGGATTTCCATATCCCATTAGCCATCAGCAGGATGTACTTAAGGACACGCGCTGTCACTTGACATAGCTGTCCCGAGTGTAATTACACTCATTCCTGCTCTCAGTTTTTAGTATTCAGTATCCATTGCCACCCGAGAACCACGTAATTATTCGGCTGGGGTTCTTCGGCTTAAGGTGGCTTATGTCCCAAATGAATGGGATTAGCTGCCAGCATCTTTTAGGTCGCTTTTTCTAATCGATTTTCGCGAAGGTCGCCTTATCATAAAGCCAAGATATAGATAAATACGATAGGAACGATAGAAATGGCATTGATGTGGGTTCAGCCATGGAAATATTCATCGATTATGTGACAACATTTGGGGCTTTTATTTAACGGCAATGTTTTCTGGGCTTTCCTTCGCCCTTCGATTCCCTTTGTTTGTAATCAATAGAACATTTCTCGCTGTTTTTCGTTGTGTTTGCTATTATGTAAAATAGTTGCAGAAACGGCAGACAGGTGGGGATATAGAAAGAGGCCGAGATAATGGTCATTAGCTCACATGTTTGCTTTGTCAGTCGGTGGCGATTCAACTTTGGCAGTGACTTGTTTGCTTAGTTGGCCGACAAAAGTAGTTAAACGAATGTCTATATAATATCGGAGGTGTGTGCTTGTACAATCCTATGTTGGCATTGTGGCTAATTTAATGGCTTTCGATTGTCTGGAATAAGACCCAAGTCACTTCTGAAGTTGGTTGATTGTTTTTTGTTCTTTATTTGTTGATAAATATTTAATGATAACTTTGTTGGGGAATACATCAATCATTTCCAATTGTGGAAGTGCTGTTTTTGTAAGTTCTAACATCTGCTTTTGCAAAACACAGAAGCTCAAGAATGTTTGGTTTCACTTTGTTGAGATGTAAACTGATTATTTTTTAATTCGTTTGAGATTGGGTTAAAAGGGATAAAAATAGTTTGTACAAAGTGTTTTTACTAATTAAATTGAAAAACATTTCAAATATGCAGTTTTAGGCTACCAGAATTGGAGCATTAAACAATTTGCAAATTTGTTTTCCATATCTATCATATTTATAAAATAATTTAACACTGAATTTGAAATAAGATATAATTCCAGGATCTCAATCAAAAGAATTTGAAAAGTTTTGCGATGAATTCAGCTAGCTTAAAAAGTTTTTTGTTTTATTTTTCCAAGAAGAACTTTTGCTTTTCTATTCATTACGTTTTGCCAAGGCTGAGAAAATGCCAAAAAATAGCTCCCGTGAAAAGAAGACAACAAAGGTTGTCCACTTGGGGACCTACTGACCCGTTTTATTCCCTGGCACTCGCCGCAATCACAAAGCAGTTGAGTCCAACAAAAGCTAATCACAGCCAAAGAACAATATCCCATATTTCCCTCCACTCTATTTCGATCAGAATTCAAATTGCCTCCGAAATCCTTCTAAGCTGGAAACTGTGGGAGATAAGCTAGTGGGCTTCGCTGGAAATCCAAAGCTGGGCTCCACAAACCAGAGGGTGAAAAGAATAGGTTACTTACCACACTGAAAGGATGGAGGCGAAGAGCGAGGAAGCAGAAGAAGGGGGTTGAGGAAGCCCTCGATGTGCCTACTGACCCAGTTAACGGTAGTTGCTGTTACTGTTACAGTTTCGGTTACAAACACTCTTGCGACCTCTTAAATGCTCGTTAACGTTTCTTTTCGGTTATCTTCAGGTTGGTTATTCTCGGTTTTTTAAATAGATGGGTTCACTTTGGCAGTGTTTGGTTGTAGAATTTTGCGGAGATTGATTGATTTATTTTTAAATTCTTTATCGATTTACACTTTACGGCTTTCTCATTAGCGTTAGGTAAAAACAAGCTCTTCTATTTAGATCGGACTTAACAAAATTCTAATTCTCGAGTTGAATATATGTATATTTGTATAGTTATTTATGACTTAAATGCACTTTTAGAGTGTTAAGGTAATTTTCACTAATTTTAAGGTGGTTAAACAATTGATTTCGTTTTGTTGGCTTAATTGGCTTGGTTTTGTTGTTCGGTTTGAGGTTTACTTGTGTTACTTTCTATTTTAGTATTTCAATTTTTAAAATTTTTCCGTTCTGCAGTTTTTGGCCGCACGGTGCGTGGAAAGCGGAGGAAAGCTAGAAAAACACGTCCGCACTGGGCGAAGAGCCACCAGAACCTGAAAATCAGTACCCAACAAGCGGGCGAATTCCGAAACACCCTCGCGTTTTCCCTCTCCCGCCGTTCGCCTTTCGCTCTCGCCGCACTTTCACCCCCTCTCTCGCCGTGCTTTTCCCGCGCTCTCTCTCTGAGCGCCGCCGCCTTCGAAGTCCTGCCTGTGACATTTACAATGTCAGCCTCCAGTCGAGGATCCCAATTCGCCGCGGCTAAGAGAAAAACAGAGCGGGAAAGCGGTGGCTTGGGCAAACTAATTTGTTTTCGGCTTTATTATTTCGCCGGGAAACTCCTGTGGGCCGAAAACGCTCTTTTGACTTTGCTGTTAGTGGTGTTGGGCTTTTCCGTCAGTCATATGTTATCCACTCACCTACGGTTCTAAGCGTAGGGCTTATAAGTGGGCAAGAATATTAATGTGTTTGACCTATAATCATAAAACATTAAAAAATATTAGGTTTTTTTTGGGATTTTTTTGCTTATATATATTTACTTGTATTTATGTTAGCTTATATTTATAATATAAATGTTTGAAATGTATAAAAAAAACTTAAATACATTTGAACAGTGTTGCTGCAAATAATGATCTTTAAAGTTGTTTTAAATATGTACACAATAAACAGGTAGAATTTTTTCAACACTGATTTTTGAACTGCGTAACGTTTCCTTTTATAATAGCGATTAAATTATATTCAATCATTGATTATATTTTTCCTTTGTTTTAGTTTCTTATAAAAGTTTTGTGTCATTTTCTTGGCAAGTTCACAATCCGAATATGTGTTAGCTCTCATATGTGTTTTGAAGAGCTTTGGAGCTACTCCTGTTAAAACGAAGCAATTAAAAGCTCCTTCCCTTTCAATCCATTCATGTGGGAACTGTTATTATTTGGAAAGCTTGCGATATATGATTCTTACACTTAGCAAAATAAAAAAAACTTTTATTCCACTAAAACTAGCCTTTCTCTTATATAAAATCAAATTTAATGATGCATGTTTTTAAACTTTAAAATTGTTCTACCCCCAAATTTATTTCTATTTAAATAAAGCTAGTTTTCTTTCAGTGCTGGAGTTAACTCGAACTAGGGGATAATAACAGAGGAAATAGGATTCCAATAGGAGCCCCACCACCACATCACGATGGAACCGAGTGGGTGGCAATGGAGGCCACCGCAAAAGGCAAAGAGCCTTCGCGACCATCAGGTGGCCATGGCCCGCTGCTCATGGGTTTGTCATTAGGGGCGCGTGCCTTTTGGCCAGCGGACTGAGCCACGTCTGCGGACTGATAAGTGGCTATTCACCCCATCCCCCCCTCCACTCACTCACTGACCGCCAACTGAAAGGCAATTGCTTTATAATCCAATTGCTGACGTCGTCCCTCCTCCAAGATCAAAGAGGTTCTAATTATCCGTTGGGGTTTGAATTGATTGATGGTCTGTGTTGGCTTTTGCTTGGTGGTGCACTTGTTTATTTTTTATTTTGGTGGTTAACTGGTTACTGGGTGCTCTGTGTGCTACTTGGCTAAGTTGTGGTTAAGGTTAATTAGGTGAAAAAGTGCGAGGAAGTGGGTGCTTGTGGATAATCCACTAAATGGTCCGTCTGTTGGTGATGTGGTCTTTGGCCAAAGAGAGCGTGATCGTGCTCCATTTGGCAGGGATCCAAGCTGGCAGTGGGCGTGGCAGGTGGCATCAGCCTTTCCTCTTGAAACACTTCCTCATCGGGATAATGATGGTATTGTGGCTGAGGTTGGGGATCTCTTTCCCGTAAGAATTCCCTTTCCATCCGCTCCTCTGAACTTCTTGGAATCAAAGGTTGTCTTTTAAATGGAGCTGGTGCGAAACTTCTCATCATATTTCTCTCAGGTCCCATTTTTCTCAAAACTGGATTTCGCTGAAGCAGATTGTCACGCCTTACATCCCAGAACCTTTGCGGTTGATTGGGAGGCCTTTGGGGATACTGTGCCACTTCATCGCTGCAATCCAAGCCCCGCACAATGTTATTCATGTAGATGGAGGGCGGTATGCGCTTCCTGTACTTGGGCCTTGGTCTCGGAACTATTTGTTTGTTGGTCACAAAGTAGTCCCTCTGCTGGGGCGCAACTGGAGCCATTCGTTGAAGGGGCTTGGCAAAGTTACCCTCGTACAGAATGGGCTCCACGTAGTTTTTCACGGGCTTGCGATAGCGGTACGATGGAGGTGGTCTGGGTTGTTCTGCTGGATATTAAATTATAAAAAATTATATGTTAATTACTTTTGATTTAAATTAATAAAACATGCATTATCAAGAGTCATTTATAGGACCAACACAAATAATTGAGTAGGCAAAAGAACTCACGTATATATTTTTGATTTATGGTTTAAACTTAAGCAAGATTGAAGTTAATTTGAGTATTTATTGTCTTACTGATAACTGCAATTTGGCACTGGTACATATATTTATCTGTCCTCTGTCTTATTCAGTTTCCTTATTTTAATAATACCTACTTGGTCCTTGGGCTGGCATAAACTGGGGACACAAATTAGTGTCCTGTTCATCGGTATCCTCGCAAGGTTCTTCTGTGGTGGTAGCGTCATGATTTTGAGACTTGTCGGTTTCTGAAATAATGTGATAATTAAGTAAACATTATCCACTAATCAACAATTATAACGCGCTTACCTTCACCTTCGACATCGTCACATCCTGAAAAGTCAGACGCTTTTGTGGTTTCCCCTTCATCTTCACAACTCTTTTCTGTGGTTATTTCCGGTCCGGAAGTGGTTGTAGAAACAGTAGTTGTGGGCATCACCGTGGTGGTGCTGTTTTCTTTCGGTTTCAGCCTCAGTTCGGCAGCTTCGGTGGTCATAATTACCTGGATAACTTCGCTGGCCTTGCTGACATTATCTAGTTTTATTTTCGGTGGATCGGGAACTTTTGGTTCCTTTCCCTTGTGATTTCTTCTCCTGTTCATTAGGGTTCTTAATCGTTTTAGTTGGTTATCAGTATAAGGAGCTGGTGATGGGGTTGTGGTACTTGTTGTTGTTGTTGTGGATGGTGTTGTGGTAATTTCGGATTCAGTTGTCGTTACTGGCCATTCTTCTGTGGGTGTTGTTTCGAATGGTGTCGTGGTCTCTTCTACAGTTGTGGTTTCAAAAGTTGTTGTAGTAGTTGTTGTGGTAGTAGAATTTTGTTTGGGTTTTCTTGGCACTGGCACTAGTTTTTTTATTTTTATAATTTTGGAATCGGGTAGAGCTTCTGTTGTTGAATTTGTTGGGGAGATTGTTGTTGAATTTGATGTTCCATTATTGGGTTGCGCAAGTAAAACATTTGGATCTTCAACTTTGTTAGCTTTTCCTTTTGGCTTGCATTTCTTTGTCTTAGGTTTAATGGTGGTGCTTGGTTTTTCAGTTACCAGTGTAAAATTGGCACAAGGATCCTGTTTGAGCAGTGGTGTTCTCAGCAGGAGTAATCTCACAAAACATGGATGTTCGATGGGTAGACCCTCATTAAATGATGGTTCACAAGGTGGCATGAACTCCATACACTCCTCTTTGCTTTCTTCATAATCATCGAAAAGGTGGCCAAATTGTTCATCCGATTCACTTTCATCGCAACCTACAGAAGTTGCTGGCAAAACGGATATATCTCTGTGATCCCGATCATTGCTGGGATATCCCTCAGCCTCCCGCAACATCATGTCTAAAAGTTGCATTTCCAAAGGCGAACTAGGAAGGAATTGCATATTATATATATTCGGTAGATTTTTACAACTCACCCAAAAACCAAAGGTCCAAAAAGTAGCACCCAAATCGACAGCAGCAAGATCATCATCCGAGTGTTTGGGTCGATGGTTTCCATGGAAATGTTGCCCCAACCCGATCGACATTTGGCTTTTGTTGAGTTCACGTATCTGTCGGATGCAGAACGCTGCGCTCTCACTTTCTGCCAATTGAGACATCGTTGTTTCCGATCTGTAAGTCACCCGAAACACCACCCAACCCCTCCCCCAAAATTAAATCGCAGTTCTGCGGTCAGCTTTCTTGTTAGACTCTTCTTGTTCATCCGTCTGGGCGGCGTCTCCGTTGCTCTGTTCTTGTTTTCACTTTCGTTCTCTACGTGACCTGTGCTGAGTTCGGCTTTTTTGTTTTTAAGTATCTATAGATTCAATCTTTGCTAGAGTCTGGGGTACCCTATAAGCTAATAACGATTTTCGGATCTAAAAAAAATTTTTAAAATTGGTTCCCTATAACGCATAACATTTTCAACAAACATATATGTGGACTTATTGATTTTAACACATTCGTAACAAATTTTAAATCAAGACATTCGTGACTCTTAATTTTAGTTTAAAACTTAAATTTTATAATACAAAAAGTAATGATGGGCTTTTTTAATTGTTTTGTTTGTTGTGGCAGTACAAAATATTAATTGTTTAATTTTAACAAAAGTTTAAAGTGGGTTCAATTTTGAAAAAAATAAGCAAATATGATTCTTTTTAATTGAGTTAAAAATTGTTCTTGTAAATATTTTAACGTTGGTCACAATATTTATTTATGTATTTACCGGGTATCAGCTGTCAATTTACCCTCATTTGCATCTGCTCTAGTTCTTGACGTGTATTTCTTATTTACTTAATTTATTTAATTTATTATGGTTACCGTTTGATCCCACGTCTCGTTTGCCTTGTTTCCGTTTTATGCTAATTGCTTTTATTGTCGCTTTCGCGTGGGCGTAAAACAGAAGCATGTTCCAAGGGGGAGGGAAAGTGGAGGAATGATGGCTCCATGTGGTCTACTAACAAGTAATTAATATACAAGAACATCGAATGCTTGGGGCTTTTTCCCCGAAGAAAAAACAATTGGGTGCAACTCTTTGTTCTCTTGGCATTCGCAAACCATCTGAGCAATTAGAAACGCAGCTGCTAACTGATTGTATTTTAAACGGTAATACCATAAAGCAAAACTATCAAATTTGATTGGGTTCTTAAGAACAGAGTGACTAATAACTTATGGTTGTCGGTGCTTTTAGAACTGCCTTATTGGAATTTCTCACTTGGATAGCCGTTTGTTCAAACAGTTCGTGACAATTAATGGTAAAATGTGGATGTGAGAAAGTGTCAATAAAATCTGATATGTAAATACAACTTTCTCTTCCTGATAAATGATGATATTAAATATTAAAATGAAAACAATTTTTTTTAATGTAAATAAATCATTTTTCAAATGCATTATGTTGTTACACCTATAAAATATTTACAACTGCCAAACAATGCCTTTTGGGCGCACTTGAAATGGTTGTAGAAAATCTGTCTTCCTTTCCGGCTTTTTGACCTTGTTCCTGTCACATTCCTAAATGTCAGCTAGCAAAAAAATGTGTTTGAGAAATTGGCTTGGGGCGTGTTTTCATCCTGTTATTACCAAATGGAATTCGCGTGTAATTTGTCTTGTCTTTCTGGAAAAATCTTTACGATTTTCCAGCTGTTTTATGTAAAAGTCTGTAATCACTCGAGGCGTTTCTGCGCAATCAATATTTGCCCGCTGGCCAAATATTCTCCAATCAAATGAAGACCACGAGGACTCGGGTTTACAAAGCAAATATTTTTCTTAAGGAACATATTAAAGGGAAACGCTTGGCTGGTATCTCAAAAGCGATTGCCCTTTTTTCCTTTTAACAGCTATGTCCTTGTTATGCGGAGCAACAGTTTTCGGCTTTCGGCACGCAACTGAATGAAGTTGACACAGGCGTATCAATGTCACAGTTGGAAAGGGGAAAGTGTGGTGGGTCGTGGGATCTGAGACATGACAGATGGCTCAAATGCCTTTAAGGCGACGACATAACATACTAATATAATACAGTATATGTATTTCAACTTAAAGTGTTTTCGGATGAAAGTGAAATATTTGATCAGGACAACATTGCGTATGAGTGATAAAGTGTAAAAAAAAGGGGAGGCAATATACGAATTGTTTTAAAAGTTTATTTTGGGATTCAATGCGATAAGCGTACAATATTAAATTATTTATTTTGTCGTAATATATTGGGGTAGGGTATTGAATTTATATTTACTGAGATACATGCTCCAAAGATCTTTTAGTTTGCCTTATGAGGGTTTGACTGTACCCACAGTTCGATTGGTTGAAGAGAGCTCAACCGAAGTTAACCCTGGGTTTTCTTTGGGGTTAGGTGAGGTTTTGCGCTCTGTCTCGTGCTAAGAAATGTCGCGTGGACATCGTGAGCTGCCAATTTAACAATTGATAAAACCAGTTATCTAACACTTGAGGTTGCTGTTGTTTGCGGGTTGCTCACTTCAGTTCTGTCAGGTTTGAAGCTGTTGAAACGGCCTCAGGTCGGAAACCTGACACTGATATCTGCGATCAATGTAACCGAGCGAAAGTTGATAAGAGTTTGCCATTTTGTCATTGCCCAAGAGGGCTATAATAACATGATGAATCGAATTTTTTATAGCGGCAGTACGTTAATTGGTCAACAGTTTGCGTCGCAAAAATTAATTAAAAAGTGTGTTAAAAATAAATATTTGCTGTATTATTTGCTTGACAGCACGTTTGTATAGCTCCTGATTGTGCTTAGCTGGGCTTTTAGTGGTGTTTAATATTTTATAGGTGTGTTTCAATTAAAACAAATTTGTTTAATCTAAGTATTATTGAAAAAGCTTTTAGCTTTTTAAAAATTATTTGTAAATTTATAAATAAATGTATGGAATTTAGTTATTGATAAAAAGGAAGTCCTTTTCCTTTGGGGTTTGTGTGTTGGCTAAAATGCTTAATCCAAGTTGTCAACCTTTTCTTAAGCAAAATAAAATTAAAGGTAATTTTTTTTATAAATCTGATTTCCTTTAATAAAATAACAAAAAAGTATTTGGCCTTATCACACCTTATCACATCTCTCCCTTAAAAAAACGACATTTCAATTTTTATTTTTATGTGAAACTTTTTATTCCATTTCAGTTTTGTATTTTTTTTTGGTTTGTTTTGTATGTTTAAATACTTATTAAAATTGTTTTTATTTTTTATTTTTCGTTTTTGTTGCTGTGTGTTGTTAGCGTCTGCTTTTCTGTTGTTCTTTGTGTGTGTCTGTGTTTTTTTTGTTGTTTTTCCGTTTTGCTAAATGAAGTTTTGCGATTTTTTTGAGATTTTTTCGTTTGCGACGGTAGCTAATGTTTACTATATAGTAATTATATAGATAGATGCATGTATGCGCTTGTGTGTGTCTGTGTGTGTGTATGCATGTGAGTATGTGTGAGAGTGGGTGAGTTTGGCCTTTAGCTGAGCCTTAGCTTTCTGAGCGTTTTCTATCGTTCTGCGTATCATTTCGTTCTTTTCGCTTATCATTTCAATAATATTTGTTAGGAATGGAAAAAAATTACAAGCCATAAAGGTAGAAAAAAACTTTACAAATTACATTTTTAAAGAGCACAAGGATAGAGCTACAGCTTTCGGAGAGGGGAAGAAAGTAATGGAGACGGGCTGAAAGACGGCGAGAGATGGCTGCCCGTCTATTTACAAAAGTATTTGTCCTCGAACCGCTGGCAGTAGTCGCAGATAAGCTGGCAGCACCGCCCGTTGTTGAACCGACACCGGCACTTCTCCACCTGCTTGACCACCTGCGTGGTGTAGCCACGCCCACAGCACAACGTCCCACAATTGTCCGGATGCAGGCACTGGCGATCCTTGGTGACCGCGCAGTAGGAGGGCGAGGTCTCCAGATAGTACAGCGTCGTGTATTGCGATTGTTGGGGCTGCAATAAAAGATGTATAATGAATTTTAATAAACTTCTCTTAACGAATTTATCCTAAAGAAACTCTATTTAATTTATAATTTAAGTGCGATAAAAACTGCACCAAAGTCCTAGTGAAAATCAATTCAAAACTATGTTTTAAGGCTTGTGGCCTTTAAAACTAAGGAATTGCTTAATTTATCCCAAATAACCATAAAATTTCTTATGGGTTTGTTACGAAAATTTGACTTTTTGGACTTTGATGACATTGTATTTTAAATAACTCACTTTATAACTCACTTTCTTGCGTCGCTGTTTTGGCTTTCTCATGCGACTCGACGAAACCTGTCGCATGGATCGTTGATTGGGAGCTTTGCGGATGGCCTCGTTGTATTTCTGCCTCAGCAGGGTTGCTGTGGCATTGAAGTCGGCCATTTTCTTCCAGCAGGTCTTCATCGAACAGGAACCGGAAACGCCGTGGCACTTGCACTTGTCCATCATCTGCGAGGAGACAGCCTCAATGCCGACCTGTAATAAAAGTAAAATAAGTATGAAGCTATTCAAGATTTGTATAATCTTCTTTTTCTCTTGTTTTGTTTGTATTTGAAATTTTTTTAAATAATTTTCTTTTTTGAAACGCGATAAAAATTGTGCAAAAAAAATACAGTTTTGAAACTTTATATTCTATAGCACACTTTGAGGCAGAACTTTTGAAATCTTATTCAAAATGTTATTTTTCAATGGGAGTAAAGTAAAGTTAAATGTTTATAGTCTTAATAGATTTTTGTTTAGTTTAAAAACAAAATTAAGGCAAAATAAGTATAACAAAGTATTCCTAATTTTCTTAAGAACATTTTTGTGGATGATTTCCTTTCCCGTTTCTTTAATTTTTATTAAAATCTTACCTCTGAGTCATGTCGCAATATCTCGCTGACCTCGTCTCCATCGCCGCCGCGCAAATCCAGGAAGCTGCGCGTCACCCGCTTGCCGTGCTTCAGGTTGTCGTTGCACCCACCCCACTGGAAATCCTGCGCTTCCCTGTTGTGCTTCTTGGGGCCGCAGCTGCACTTGGTCATCCTGCCCTCGGCACAGGCCCTGGCTATCGAGTGAGTCATCGCGGCGGCGGTAAGGGCGTGGACAAAGGCCGTCTCCTTGTAGAGCTTCTTGAAGATGTTCCGCTTGCCGCGCGTCTCGATCGAGCAGTTCCAGCGATCGTAGCGGAACTGCTCCTCGCAGTGGGTCGTCGCCAGGCGACGGGCTTCACTGAGGGTTCCCGGCAGCCCCGTCTCCTTGCGACACTGGTGGTTCTGCCGTCGCGTGGCCGGCATATATCTGCAGGGCCCTCCGACTTGTCCTTGGGATGTGAACACCGCCATCACCGTGTGCTCCGAGATAAAGTGTTCGCTGAAGATAAGAAAAACAATATTTTAGAAAGGGTTTAGGTTATTTAGAGTAAGTTGAACTCTAGAGAATAATCTGAAAAAGTATCAGATAGTAGAAATTTTAGTCTTACAATTTTAGTTTTTAGTTTTTTTCATTCAGCGCCATCTACAGCTCGTAATATGCGCGAAATAATCTACACGTATTTTACACAGGCTAAAGTTAGCGCCCTCTAGCGCTTGTCAGGTGAACCATTACTCATAAAATAAACGGTAAAATTACCGTTTCAACGTAAATTTGAATTCACATGACTTTTCCTTTTATCTTACAAAATCTATAGATTTCCTAAAGAGTTAATTACCAACGACAACCTTCATAGATTAAAAAACTGCAATTAAGGGCTCTATAAATTTTACAGCCACTAATAAACCGATATTTGGGAACTTTTATTTGATTCAACAAAAGTTACAACATGTGTAAGTGCGCTTTTTCTTATCAGTTTTCCACTGATTCGGATTCTAGGAATGCCAGAAAGAATTTTCCTTGAATTGGTTTGTTTTGAGAACTCAATGCTATATCTATTTCTAGTAATTCCAGAGCTTATTAGGAGGTATTTCATATTTCAAAAAGAAGCCGACGCTTCACCTCACTCATTTCCTGTGCAACTTCGGTTATCATTTTGTGGCACCCACTCCGCCTCGAACGATTGGAGTCGGCTGATTTGCAGGAAATCTTAAATTCTCATAAAACTTAAGTGCATCGTAAATTGGCGTATGAGTAACGAGCTCAGCATATCTGCGGCTATCGGACTTTCCGACTATTTCCGTCTCCATCTGGCACAGATTTTCCACTTTTATTCTCCAGCTGGAAGTGAGCAGCTGATCTCAACTTTCGCCAATCAAAATCTGTTAATAATATTCCGCTCGAATACGTTCTACATTTTCCGCGTGCCCACTTTTTATGTGAAATTAATTTGCCACATTTTCGCAATTAATTAATTAATTGAATGTTTGAAATGTTTACAAGTAGTTTGCTTTGCCTTCTGGCTACACTTGTGGCATTTGTTTGGATCCAAGAACCTGTGGCTGCGGCTGGCCAATTTTTATCTATTTATCTCCCGCTGTTTTATTTCGATATTTGACGTAGTTTTCGGTTTGATTAAAATATCATTTGGCGATTGACTGAAAGGCAGTCTGGATAGGAATTTAATTGGGGTGGTTGGGGGACTGCAGGTTGCTCTTTAAATGTTTTCAGTATATTTATCATTCATCATATACTAAGAAAAATAATCAAAACTACACACATATGAATTTATTATAGTAACAAGTTATTAAATACGTATTTTATACTGATACATAAATAATGAGGTAATAATATAAATTTTAAGGTAGAGATTATAATGATATTGTTTATGTGTATATATATTTATTTTATAAGTAAATAAAAGTCATAATCCCTTTGTTCAACATTAATTATTATTTTGATAAGGGCACTATACTTTTTACCCCTCTGTTTCAATTTATTTGTAAAAATTCATAGAATCTATAACTGATTGGGAGTGACATATGTCGATCTGTTGATCTCTTTGCATTGAGCTCTTTGACTGCGTGACTCTGTAATTCCCCGGCCAAAACCCTGGGGGTCTTCAATTACAGCTCAAAGCCCATGTAAGTCGGCATGTAAGCTTTGTATTGTTATCACATCCGATTCGGTTGTTGTTTCTGTTGCTGCGGCAAGTGCAACGCAAAGCGCATTAGCTCAAAGCCCACAGCACACGACTCGCCATTTACCCACTTCAACTTTGGATAATGTATGTCGCCTTAGCCATTGAAAACATTGAGGAATTACCAGTCGTAATTCCGCAGGGAGAGGGGCAACTGGGGGAAACTTGGGGATAATCCTTTTGACAAAACGTTTACGGGGCAAAATGGACAGACAATTAGCAGGCGAATGGCTAAAACAATTGGCCAGACAGACGGACAGACTGAGAAAAGGAGCCAGTCTTCTTTGAGCGAGCACTTTAATATCACAAATTTTCGCCGCCAGCTAAACAATCGCATGCAGCAGAGATAGATTCGTATCTTTCGGATACAAAGTAGTCTGAAAGCTATTAAAATGGCCACAAAGCAAAACAAACTGTGAAGAGTTGGTGGTTAGGCCAAATACCAAATAACAAATTGATGGACGGACGGACGGAAGGACGGACGGATGGACGGATGTGTGCCAGCAAACATGTGGGAGAGTGGGACAGGGAAAAAGATAGCGCCGTAAAACAAAAGTGTTGATGGATATTTTCCTCGTGCGATGATGACGCTGAAGTTGTGTGTTCCTCCTGCCGCTTTGAGTGCTCTTCTTCTTCGGCGTCCCGCTTTTCCCTCATTTTCCTTGTGCATTTGTGGAGATTCATCAAATTTTCAGAAACGTAAAATATTCAACACACCCGCACACACCCCACACACACACTCACACACAAACACAAACGCACAGGTAGCCAGGAAAAGCACATATATAAATCCCTTTGTGCTGCGGCAAAAGCATTTTATGGACTTTACAGTTTTTAGTTGCTTCTGCTGCTGCTGCTGATGTTGCTGCTGGCCCCAAACAGCATAGCAAATGTGCAACAGCAACAGGAGGCAGAGGAAGCAACTGCAGCAGTCGGCGATTGAAAGCAGTTCGAAAAACACAACAAAATTTACACTGAGGGAAAGCCATTTAAACTATTATACCCACCATAAAGGTACCGTTCTATAAAATCAATATATTTTATAGCCGCCAGGGTCTATCTTCCATAAACGTGATTAGATATAATATATATGAAATATATATAAACTTTTGAAATATTAAATATAATTCGATAATTAGTAATGAGTAAAAAATGATTGCACTTTGAGGGAAAAAGATATTCAATATTTATTTTATATTCAGCTTTTACATTTTATGTTGTGTCTAAAATAACAGTACCCTCTCCTCATTTAAAAAAAAATGGTTTATTATTCTCTCAACTCAAATAATCCCATTTCCAGTTTAAAAATATTTTAAGGGTATCTCTATAGTTTCATATTATTATAGTTTCTTGTCACAATAACTCAAAACCTATATCCCCACTTTGCTTCGTGTAAAGAGGATAAAAATTGAAATCAACCCAGGCAGGCACCCATAAAATCTTTTTTAAAGTAGCATAAGCATATCGAAAGCCGAAATGCTCTCTCGACTTGAACTTTTTTATGGACTTTTTACCATTTGCATTTTATTGCCAAAACATAAATGCAGCTGCCAGCCACGCACAGTCCGCCCCCCTTTTGACGCCTTCTTTTACCATTCGAAAAGCGAAATGCATTGCTTATTTTTAAAACATTTGACTTGCATTGGGCTACCAACTCTCCAGTCGATTTCTTTTCTGGGTGGCGAGAAAATGTTTGTTTGTTTGCTGGTCGCTCTGTTTTGGTTTCCTCTGTTTGCTTTTGGCGTAGCTGTCACATAATTTACCCAAGCCCGAAACGTTCAATTAAAACGCAAGTGCAAATACTGTAACCCAATCGGATCGGAAAATTGATGAACTTAGGCAAAACGCGACGCGCTCGGTTGGCTTTAATTGATAGCTGGCAAATGAAGCAGAAGGCGCTGCCTCTGGGATTCTCCGGTTCTCTCTGATTTTCTGCTTTTGAGCTTCTTGCTTGTTTGACTGGCGAGAATGGGGCCAATGAGGCGTCATTTCTACGGGCAATTTGCTGAGAGACAAGCAGTTTCCTCAAATACTATATGAGCACAAATAATCGTTAATAGTGGCGATCATTAGGCCGATCCGCCTCATGGTTTTTCGAAATTTGTGGTTTCTTATAAGCGAAAAAATACGAAAGCTTACACAACTTAGAAAAAAAATCTTCAATATATATGTATATAATTTAGTATTAATGTACGTTTAATATAACACCTTTCCTAACATTTGAATTATTTGTTGGAGAATATATATTGCCTTTTTGTACAGTACATATTTCCCAAAATTTCGTCGCATTTTTCTGTGCAGCTTATTGTGAAACTCTGAAGAAGCTTTACGTTTTCGCCGTGCCATTAATTGCCATAACTCTTTTTCAATAATTCATGCGGACCCCATTTGTTTGGCTTAACAGCTTAACAGTGTCGTCTCCTTTTGTCATCTGTGGGATCGCTTAAAATCTTCCGCTGAGTCCGCTTCCTGCACCTGTCAGCTTATTTATTCATTCGCTTTATGGCACATGAAACGAAACACACTTCAAAATGCGTTGTAAATATTGCGCTTAAGCCGCTAAATTGCAAGCGGTAAAGGCGGTAAAAGCCGGCAACAGCAGCGAACGGCGACAGCAACAATTGCCGTCAGCAAAAAAAAAAAAAACAACAACAACGAGAAAAAAAACGAAGGCAAACCAAATTGCAAGCGCGAAAACCGCAAGACAAACGTCCGCCCCTCGGGGAGAAGTCCCCTTTCCGTTTATTTTCCCAGGACGAGGGGTCTCTAAATGCTGATGTATGAGATGTTGTTGTTGCTGCCCAATTTCGGCAGCGTTAAAACATAAAATATGCTTCCGCTCCCGCTTCTTTCGAACCCCCCAATGAATAATGTTGCTGCAACAAGGGAAGGGAAAGTGCGCACACTGAGCGAAAAATATGGATTTTAGTTTTGTAATTTCACTAATATAAAATATAATCTATACAAATAATATTAGATGTAAGAAATCAATCTTAACAAAATTGATTTTCCTTACGGGATAAGAAACTGTCAACCAAAGTTAATAGCATTCTTAAAACTTTATTCAATAAGTTTGAAAAAAAAAAAATTTAATTCCAAATTGAATACTAATATTGCCCTTTTTTTCTCAGTGCTTGTGGGTGGTTGCTAGTGTGGGGCAGCAATAGCCGGTGGTTGTTTTTTGGCTGCAACTCGGCGCTTCATCATAAAAAGCGCATCCTTCTGCCCAGCTCCCTGTGCCGAAGATTATGGTCATCAATTTTGGCATCATCCAACAGAAGCAGAAGCAGAAGCAGCGGCA